TTGTACTTCATCATCTTCTTTGGCTTGCACATTCAAAGCTCGCCTAGTGACAAGCAGTTCTCCATCAACGGCATATTCCACCTTCTTTTCCCATTCCAAATACACATTTGGATCATTTTTGCCTTGAAATGGAGGAATCTTTATCTTGATGCTGCCTAAGTCATGATCTGGCCGATCTCCCCACCCTGCCAGATTTTGGTCTCCTTTGTTAAATCTATATCTTTGACCCCCTCTACCTCTCATAAATTTGTCCATGCTAAAATTTGAGTTCTGGGCATCATCATTGAATGCATCTTCATCATTGTCATCAAGATTGTGATTATGAAAATTTGGACTTCCATTCTGTATTTGGTATAACTTGGCAATGGCTGTAGCTTGCTTCTCCATTTTGTCTTTAATTTCACCAAACATGATGTCTAGCCTCTGAAATTGTTGTTGCATAGCTTTGAGCATGAAGGAATCATCCACTTGGAGTTTTCTGTCATCACCGCTTGACATGATTGAAACCTACAAGGAATGTTAGAAACAGAAAATAAAAGGACCTCACAACACTCCCTTACATGTTTCACTCCACTCTCTCACAGAATGGCACTCAACACTTGTGTTTTACACACTATAGAACTTGGCTTTTCTCTCAAGTGTTGCTCACACCTCTTGCCTTTTTCCCTCACTCAACTTTCCTCTTTTAGTTTGTTATTGAACTAAACAAGCTCAATTCAAGTTATTTTGCAGCAATCTAACTCCAACAAATCTACAAGAAGAGTTGAAGGAAACGAAAAGGCACGAAGGAACCAACAAGAAAAGCAATAAAAGAAACAAACTGAAACGAATTAAAAGAAAAAAGAAAGAAAGAAAAATGGAAATTCGATTGAAACACAATGCAGGAAAGACAAATCAGTTCTAACACTTCCTACTAGGTAACAATTCCTTAATGTAGCGGGATTCCTAATGTAGGAAGGAATAAACAAAATTGCTATCTCCTTGTTTGAATAGAATTCAAAGAAAATTTCCCAACTCTTTATTGTAGTGGGATTTCTATTCCTTAATGTAGTAGGATTCCTAACTTAGGAAGGAATAAACAAAATTGCTATTTCCTTGTTTCAACAGAATTCAAAGAACATTTCCAACTCCTTATTGTACTAGAATTCCTTCTTCCAACTTTTTACTGGAGTAAGATTCCTTCTTCTTTAAGGATTTGGCCACCAATTTCTTCTCTATATAAGGAATTCCAATCACATAATTGTGTTGCTTGCTTCTCTCTCTCCTTTTTTTTTTTCGTCTTTTCTCTCTTTTTTTTTGGCGATCCTCTTCCTTTTTTTTTTTTTTTCCCTTAAGCAAGATTTTGAGTTTGAGTCTTGTAAATGGAGAAACAAGTGTTGGGAGAGCTTCCCCCTAATGGGGTCTGACTCGACTCGATTCCGGATTAGTTGAACCCAATGTGGCTACCCGATACCAAGAGGTTAGTACCCAAAAAAAAGAGAAGCTTACTTGAGGTCATTCACACTGAATTACACAGTTTGCGTTAAAATCACACAATTCTACCGAAATTTGTAGCAAACTGATATTTCATGTTGTTTTAGGTTATTTTGAGTGATATTCACATTTTTTGTATTATTTTTGGGCTAAACATTCATTTTTTTGAAACTCAATTAGTGGCTATTAGGTTTAGGACTTAGGATGTTAGTTTTTTATTTTGATTAGGAATAGTTTTCCTTATTTAAAGGGCTTGTAACCCTAATTGGGAGGGAGCCATTGAACCTAAGGTTTTTGAGAGACTTTTCTCTTTGGTTTGTTTTAGAACTTATCAAGATTATTCTTGTGGCATTCTAACCTAAACTTATCATTCTTGTCCTTAGCCGTTCGAGAGTGTGGCGTCAACCAGCTTTATACCTTTGGTTCTTGTTGCATCATAGACAACAAGTCAAGGTTTTTTACCTTTGGTTCTTATTGTAACATAAACAATAAGTCAAAGTCCTATTATAAACTTGATTTGGCTTTTTTGGAATTTCGAAACCCTTGTCGTGTTGTGGGTCTCATTGTTCCTCCCTCTTTCGTCTTGCTTTTTGAATGGGCAATACAAGAAGATCTATAGTTAGAAACCTTTCCACTAGTTATTGAAAATGGTTAACATCTGCTCTTGTCTATGGTGCTCCCTTCTCCCCTCATTGATATGAAAAATTCTCCCTCATGATGAAGATACCAGCCATTTGACCTATTTTGAGTTGGCCAAGTCAAAAATTCTCTTTGGGGTTCTCATCACCTTACCTCAAATTTAGCATTGTTAATTGGTTTGAATGGAGTGTCAAATTCTGTCATCAGTGCTTTTTAAGCATTGTCCAAAAACAATCAACCTCCATAATTACAATGATGCACGAAAAAGCTAAAAAAAAGGATAACCCTACTCGTGCCTTAGAACCTTCAAGATGAAATTGATAGTGAAGAACGAATGCATAGAGAATAGAAAAAAAAGCATCACAAGCTTATGTTCTATGATACACAATGCAAAAAGCAAAGTGTGATATTATATCCTTTTTCACAATCTCAAATGCCTATATATGCCTCATATTTGCTTTCCATAGATCCCTTGCCTAAGCATGTCTATAAGTAAAACTGGAAGGTTAAAACTCCATTTTGGTCCCTCTAATTTTAGTAGAAAATCTTTTTTAGTCCCTTTACTTAATAAAACTCCTTTTTAGTCCTTAAAGTTTATTATCTAGTCTCTCTATTATCTTTTTGCACAAATGACATGTTAAATAATTGAAATTCCAAAGTAAAGGGTTCAAAAAGAGGGGTTTTTTAAAAGCAGATGGACCAAAAAGGGCTTTTTAGTTCCATTTTATCTACCCTGGAATTTCTATCATCTAATGCTCCACATGTGCAAAAAAGATAATAGAGGGATTAAAAAAGAGCCAAATAATAAATTATAGGGACTAAAAACGAGTTTTCCTAAATGGAGAGACTAAAAAAGGACTTTTATTAAAATAAAGGGACCAAAATAGAATTTTAACTAAATTCAAATGAGGGAAGGCAATCGTCCAAGAAAG